ATATACTGGACTTGGTTTTCTTGAAAGACATCGCCTTATCTACCATAGACATCAGCCGACCATTCCCTGGTAGTGACCACAACACAGTAATCTGCGCCCTTGATACCAAGCTTCACTCATCAAAACGCTCTACCCTGCGCAAGACATTCATGTGCTTCGGAAAAGCTAGGTGGGACGTATCTAACTCCTTCATTAGAAGCTTAGACTGGGATCTTTTCTTTTCTAATAGCAACCTAGACACTGTCCTACTAGCCTTTTACCAGAATGTATCTATTTGCTTTGATAATCTCGTTCCTAAATGTAAAGAAAACCCAAGAGAAAACATAAAGAATTTCATTCCTATAAAAGTAAAGGCTAAGCTGCGAAAGCTGTACCGACAGTACCACAGAGAAAACGACTTCTCATGCCTTCTAAATATACAGAACATTTATCTAGCTTTGAAAGAAAATAACGACAAAGCCCTACTCAGACAAGAACATGCAGCTCTTAAAGATAGCTCTAAATACACTGCAATCTGTAGGCTTTATCGCAAAAGGCTAAACTCCCGTAAAACGGATATACAATTCATTTTAGAAAATGGCGAAACCACTAGTGACTCTAAAATAATTTGTGAGCTTCTAAACTCCCATTTCTCACAGTCATATACCTATGATGATAATACGTTGCCACAACCTCTATTCCCTGTACGTTCACAAAAAACCTTAGAAATTATCAGCTTTTCTTTAGATAATATTAAGAAAGCAATCACTTCTCTTAAAAGTTCAAACAACCCAGGTCCTGATATGATTCCCTCAACTTTTTTAAAATACGGTGGTGAAGACATTCCTATTCTCCTTCTTAAATTGTTCTCTACCTCTCTATCAACTGGAACATATCCAGATGCATGGAAAACCACGCACATTACCCCTAGGTATAAGTCAGGCTCCCGTTCAAGTGTCATGAGTTACAGACCCATTAACCTAACTTCTGTTATTTCAAGGGTTCTGGAAAAGATCGTGAAAAGTGCCATTTTTGACTTCCTCTCTCAAGAGAAACTTATCACTCCTTATCAACACGGTTTCATGAAGTCACGTTCTTGTACGACATGCCACTTACAATTTTTCGACCACATCTCACAACTTAAAGATTCCAGTATGATCACAGTTATCGTATACTTAGATCTTAGTAAAGCCTTTGACACTGTAAGCCACCGACTGTTAATATCAAAAGTCCAGTCCTATGGGATACAAGGTTCATTGTTAAGCTGGCTCAGTTCGTTTCTAAGCAACCGGATGCAAATGGTCAGGTTAGGTTCCCACACATCCAACCCCGTTCGGATAACAAGTGGAGTTATACAAGGTAGTGTCCTAGGTCCACTGCTATTCCTGTTATATTTCAATGACATTTGCGACGTTATTAAACATGGCAGACCTTTCCTATTCGCCGATGACATCAAAATAGTGTATCACTCACTCAGAAATGAAGTGTCATGTGTATTTAGTAGGATTCAAGATGATATTGAGAGCGTCCAATTATGGTGTAACACATGGAAAATGAAGTTTAACGTTGAAAAATGTGGTGTGCTATGCTCCAAAAGCATTTCATCTGAACTTTCCATCTCCCTACACAACAAACATATTCCTCGTCTGCCGCTTACAACAGACTTGGGTCTGAAATACACTCCAGAATTTAGCCTGACTGAATACGTTAAATTACAAGTATCAAAGGTCAAAAGGCTCTTTGGATTTTTATTCCGAAACTTTAAGACCAGTGAATCCAAAATAATGCTGTACAAGTTGTGCGTAAGGCCCTTACTTGAATTTTGTCCCCCTATCATGGACAGTGTCTCCGTAAAAGACAGATGCAAATTAGAAAGTCTACAAAGGGCGTTTACTAAACGTCTAGTAGGTGAAAATCTTTGCATCTCTTACTATGACAGATGTAATCTATTCGACTTGGAACCCTTATGGGTTAGACGACTGAAGTTCAACCTAAAAATTACATTTAGGATTGCCAAAGGGCTTATATATTTCCCCCACAATGACTTTACTTTCAGTTCACCTAAGAAATATAACCTGAGAAATAAATCTTCTTCTTTTAAAGTTCCCCGCTGTCATACAAAATACAGATCAAACTCTTTCACTGTGAGATACCGTTGCATTTGGAACCGTCTTCCAACTGAAATTAGAGACAGTCCTACCCCAAAAACTTTCTCATCTTTGCTGAACAAATATTTCATTAACAACGGGTTAGAAGGGGTATGTGACAAACTAAAAATTAGAGATCTAATACGGCACTCCTCTGATCCTCACTGTTAGCTCCTGAAATCTGTAAACCCTATGTTTGACAGTCACTTTCACTATGATTGCTTTCACAACCCTAGACACCTATTCTTAATCAGCCTTAAATTTTAAATTTTTTTTTATTTCCTTCAAATATTTTTGCATATATCCCTGATAATATTGTATTATGAGTATTTCAGTATGCTAAGGTTCAATCTCAAATTCCAGATGCAAATCAACTGAAGACGACTGGTATTAAAATATCTCCAGAGCCTGCCTAGTGCTATACGTCTAGCTCTACGCAAATTAAGGCCAAAATGGTAGTTGTCTAAATATTCAAATAAACGGTGAATTTCTTACTCTTATCCTATTATTCTATAACTATAATCTTCTCTGTTCAACTTTTCTTGAACAACATATTATAACTTATCACTGCTTATTTGCTCAATGCTGCACGATTACTCCCTGATTTTCTAAACTACATTTGTTTATATCTAAAATGAATCTTATCTTACTATTCTATTACTATAATCCTGTATGTTCAAATTTTCTAGAACAACATATTATAACTTACCACTGCTTATTTGCTCAATGCTGCACGATTACTCCCTGATTTTCTAAACTACATTTGTTTATATCTAAAATGAATCTTATCTTACTATTCTATTACTATAATCCTGTATGTTCAAATTTTCTAGAACAACATATTATAACTTACCACTGCTTATTTGCTCAATGCTGCACGATTATCCCTGATTTTCTAAACTACATTTGTTTATATCTAAAATGAACTTATCTTACTATTCTATTACTATAATCCTGTATGTCAAATTTTCTAGAACAACATATTATAACTTACACTACTTATTTGCTCAATGCTGCACGATTATTCCCTGATTTTCTAAACTACATTTGTTTATATCTAAAATGAATCTTATCTTACTATTCTATTACTATAATCCTGTATGTTCAAATTTTCTAGAACAACATATTATAACTTACCACTACTTATCTACTCAATGCTGCACGATTATTCCCTGATTTTCTAAACTACATTTGTTTATATCTAAAATGAAGTCTCAGATAGCCTTTCTTTCTTACATTTTTCGTCTTCAAAATGCTGTAAAAGATTAAACATACATGATGTTCTTCTGAAAGTAGTCATTCATACCATAAGTTTGGGTAAGTCGACGAATAAATAGTTGGACAAACAAAAAGTTTGTGGCATTTTGCAACAGAAATTAAAAAAAAATAAATAATTAAAAAAAAAATGAAGCATTCCGACAGGGCCTTGCACAAAAAAGGTGGGAGGGTGGTGACTGCTAGTCAGCGGATATGATGGTGGGGACATATGTGAACCACCCTTATCTGTGGGACAGCACTCTATTGCTATGGCTCCTGAGTTCGGATGGCTTCTGCAAAATGAGAATAAATAAAAACTAAAAATTAAAAAAAATAATGAAAAAAGAAATAGAAGTTGAAAATTGCCTAGAGCCGAAGTTTAGACGCAAACTCCCGAATGAAAGTAAATGGTATGAGTCCGCTACTTCAGAAGGACACCGAACTGTATACTTCAGAAAAACATATATTACTAGGCCCTCGCTTTTCTTTTACATAGCTCACGCACTCTGACTTTTGTGTTTAACTCCTTTTAAACCTCGTAAGTAGGTGAAATTATCACCTGTCTTTCACTTTAAACTAATTGTTCGCAGAAAAGACTGTAAAATATCGGGAAAATAATATTTCCTGAAAAAAAAACAAAAAACGATGAACCCCATGCCTGTTATATATTTTGAATTATTAACACCTTTTAAATACTAGGTGCAGATGTGCACCTGTCTGCTGGTTTTCTTGTGTCTTCTTCTCTTTTCAAACATACTGCTTTCAACGAAGGTACAGCGCTGCAATTCTCTACTTATTCGTGATATTGCTAGCTCATCTGGTGAATAACGGGATCATCGGTATTATAAAATCTGCTAACAAGTTCAAAGTGGGTCTCATAAACAACTGGAAATGTCACAAATATGATGTACTTACAGGTGAATTTAAAGTTTAATAGACTTTAAAACTCTTTCTGAATGATTTACTGATAATTATTGTTTATTCTGCATCTCTTATGTAATACGTCAGCACCTGTACAGAAATGCTACTTACCGAAAATAGATATAGGCAGTTTTTTATTGGCTGTTGGCTAGCTGGCTTTTTATTGGTCTAAAATATAAATTAAAGCGCCAATCTCTTTATTTTTACACGGAAATTTACAGTCAGTAAAATTTCGGGCTTACCTTACCATAATATAATGGCGTGTTAATTTTTTTGGTGTGAGTGTAGTGTGACAGTCACACGCTATTTGGATGCATTGTTGATGTTTAAAGTATATTGAGATGTATGAGAATGTCCAGAAAGTGAATATAAATCAACAATAATTTTGATGCATTTATTTTAAGTCCAAAATAGGATGTATGCCATTTTGGTTACTAGGCGAATATAATTCAACTACCATTTCTATAAATTTAATGTGTCCTGAATTATTACATGTAGAAATATGTATGTAGTAACTAATCTACTTTTTTAAGTTGTCACTTCAATGATTTGTGGGAATTGTGCGTACTACGTCAGCATAAATGAAGTAAATTGACAAGGTCATGGCCAGTGGTATATAAGCACTGAAATATATACTAGTGTTTATTTACTTGAAGTCATAGTGTTGTGCACGTTAGGAATTGTTAAAACGATTAAATGATGTTGCAAAGTACTCCTACTGCGTCTACTTCAAGAAATATATCATCTTTATTGTGTGATGTAACAGCTATATTCCAAAGGATAATGTTGTGTTGTATATTTTATACATGGACACAATTTAAGGAAGCTTTAGACACATTTATGAAGGTACTAACTAAGTTGTTCTTTATTTCTTTGAAAGGAATCCAATACATCCTATCGTGTTGATTCAAGTAAAAAAGATCGACCCGGTGCTGATGACTACAAGTTTGTTAAGTTTAAATGCACTTTTGGAAGTCATCGTGCTCCCCGAGGTGCTGGCTTTAGGAACAGAGGGTAAGTTGGCTGCGTGTGCAAATTTTAAAAATTTTAAGGTTCAAAAGTACATCATGTCAGTCAATAATTCTAGTCCAGCGGAAATCCAACGTATACATGATAACCAAGTACAAAACTGTGCATAACCATCCCTGCACAGCAAGTTTTATGTCCACCGATGTATCTAGACGTCGGTTATCATCACAAGAAATGGCAATTATCCAACCGTTCATTGAAAGGAATACTGATGTCCATGAAATCATGGATCTAGCACATGAGAAGTTCGGAAAAGCGCTCCTGTATAACGATATTAAAAACATGCGGGCTAAGATAAATAAACGTAAGTCCTATCAAAATAAATGGTGCAGTAGAATAGAAATTGGTTGTTTGGAAGAGCTGCTTCATCGACTGAGGCAGACAGGTCCAGTTAAAGTTTTGCAGGACAACGCAGGCTTTGTATCTAAAATCATTTTTGCTCGTAATGATATGATAGACGTGTATCATAAGTTTCCAGAAGTAGTTGGAATCGATTGTACTTACAAAACGAATAAGATGGGGTAAGTTTCAGTACAACAAGGTATAATTCCTTTTCCAAATTTGTTACAGATGGCCTTTATATCAGTTTGTTGTGACTGATGGATTCGGAAGAGGAAGGACTGTTTTGTTTGCTCTTACTAGGAGAGAAACGTTTGCAGATATCAAGGAGATATTGCAAACGTTTAAGAGATTTATGGTGGATACATCGAAAACATTAACATTCACTGTCGACTGTGCAACTGCACAGATGAAAGCCCTAAAGGAGGAATTCCCTAGTTGCAATATTGTTTTGTGTCTTTTCCATGTATGCCAGGCATTCAGAAGGAAGGTAAGTTACATTCCCATTAACTGACATAGGGAAAACAGTTCCCAAACCAGCTTGTTAAAAAGTGGTTGTATCGAATGGCGCACACGCGCAGTTATGACAGGTAGGTTAGCAAATCAGAGTATATTGCCAAAGGTTTTGGCGTTACCTAAACCTCATAAGTATTGTAGACGCTGAGGCTGGTGCTTACATTAGAAGGTACTGGCTAAGAACACGCAAATATTGGGCTGCATCGTGCAACAGGTTCACCATCAGCATGGGGAACAATACTAACAACAGAGTTGAGAATGCTCATAGGCAGTTGAAAAGATATCTACGTAAAGGTGATCCTATGGAACTGACGCTATGGAAAATATGGAGGTGGATCGACCACACAACCATGCGTAAAATACGTCAGGGCCAGTGGATGCTTGCTAAATACTACAATTACGATGTAAGTTCGAAGATAATTTACGATTTATCCTAGGTACCTAATTCCCTGAAGTCTCATTTACGGAGTCTCACACCGTTTGCTGCCCAGAAAGTTGTGTTAGATTTACAAAGGCGTTCCTTCTTCTTCCATTCAATATCTTCTACCTCAGTTGTTTACGCAGAAGGTGGTCACATATTCTTCGTAAACAGGAACGAGGCGAAATGCACATGTTGGACATACTGCGCATACAATTTGCCTTGTGCACATGTCGTTGAGGCGTTCTTGAACTCATATCTAAATTGTGGTATGTTCCATTTCTTTAAATGTTACTCTTAGATATTCTGAGGAATAGTGAGAGGTGGACACGTGTATATAACACAACGGACAACATTCCGAGGGCCATCCGGTTAATGCCGGAACCAAACAACGCGTTTCGAAATGCTTATGAACGTTTAAGATATCGTCTCAACAGTCTGAACCGAAGAAATCCGGATGCTGCACTGCGGGAAATAGCGGAGTTTACCAGAAGGTTGGACAGTTTGCTAGCAAATGAACCGCAAACAACTTTAAGATTACGACGTGCCCCTGTTAATCGATTATTTTTGTGAAAATATTTGTATTACCTTTTTATTTCCATTTGTATTCAGAATATAAACATGTATGTATAAACTGCAGTTACACTTCCTTTCCTTTCAAAAGGCTAAGACCGACAGTTTAAAGAATACTTTGGTTGATTGTTTCGTTAAGAGAGCGCTTTGAAAGTCACTTAGAAATTAAAACGATCTGTGCCTTATTTACTACGTTTTTCAGCCGAGCATTTGCGGTTCATAGCATATCCTGAATAACGGTGATTAATACGATTTATCACTTAGACCGCAACACCACCAAGCCTACTATATTCATAAACTTATTCTAACCTATTCATCGATAAGGCCTTTTTATGGTAACTGAAGCTCTTATTTACCCACTATTTTCTCAAATAACGCTGGTCATGCTTACAATGATACCTAGGTGCTGAATTGAGTCTTTTAGTTCTGAAATAACGGTAGTTCGAAACTAATTTGTCCTGTGAGGGATGGAACAGAGCGGATAAGCAAACCCAGTCGGTTCCATTTACTTTCAATCATGATAAGAAACCAGCTCTTAGTTTTAATCTCAAACAATAGCAGAACGGTTAGGCAGTTTACTTATTGAATAAGGTTAATATATTAGAAAAGTATACCTTATTTGGCTGAATCATTGCAGGTTCACCATAACCCTTGACTACCAACATAAAAACTGGGAACTTTAGGCTAAAAATCACCTTAATAGTAGTATCCAGTGACATAAACTGATCTACACACTGCAAAATGGGAAAAACATGCAAAAAAACCTTTAAAATTCAATGGAAATCGAATTCACGAAAACATATAACCAGCCGACGCAGGAACTCATCATGACCTTGAAACTGACTGTAGCCTCTTTCCTACTTACCTTCCTCAACTAACGCAATCATTCATGATTCCCGCGTGCAATTGACATGTATTTTTTTTTTTCAATCACAGTTTAGATTTGATGCTATATCTATTTCCTTATTTGTACACTTCATTTTAAATGTTTCTCTCACATTTACCAGTATTCAACTTATTTCTAAATTAACAAATCATATTATATATCCTATAAGTTTTCATAAATGTACATATGTTCATGCCTGTAAAAATGGCTGGTTTCTGTTACAGAAATAAATTATTATTATTATTATAAACCAATTTGATTTCTTTGTGCTCGCTTCTTGACTGTAAGGTATATGCTCCTGATCTTCGGTAAACTTCTGCGTAGCTCGTCCCTCCACTCGACTGTAGTAGCTTTGGTTGACTCCAAAGGGAGTAGTGATGGGATTAATTATATGTGGTTTGTAGTATGAGGCGTGTTAAGACTGTTACTACTGTGAATGGAGTTGATCCTTTCGCCAGTTAGTCCTCCGGTATCGTCGACAAGAGAAAAAAGAGAATAATAATAATCGCGGTGTTAGGGAGCTTGGTTGGACCATTTTGCATTTGTTTAAGCCAAGAGACATTCCTTATAAAATAATTCCGTAGTGTTAAGAGAAAATCCTACTCATATGATTTTATGCTGAACCCCTCTAAATCTCAGACTGTTAATTTTAGACTTTTTGGTACACATTCAGAAGTTCAGAGGTAAGCCCTTCTTTCTGTTCTACTAATATAACTGCTCCCACAGATACATGTAAGTGTGTATGCATAGCTAGAGTTAACATGAGAAGGGTATCTGAACATGTACCAAAGCGTCCAGGTCTCAAGAAGATAAATGTTTTCCACAATGCCATTGACAGGCATCTTCCTGATACGGGTAATGACGTGGACATCGCAAGATCATTCAGAATTATCAACAGACAAAAGCTTAGGCCCCCAAATATACTTGAAGATCTCTTTAAGGAGAGAATTCACGCCACACAAAAGCTTGTCGTCCACTTTTGTCATCTAAACGGCAATAATGGTCAGTTGACAACTTACTATTTAATTCCAGAATTTTCGATTCATGAAGGAAGTCCCGCCTGCCTGAGGAAATTCCAGCTGGCCATTGTCAATTACAGATTTACAATTTCTCAAGACGGACAAATTTCTCGTTTTGATGACCATGAGCAACTGGCAATGTAGTTGAAGATTGAACGATCAATTCATGGTTGTTTGCTCAAACCCAACTCTTCCATATTTTTGCGCGGGAGTCATCAATCCAGCAGTCATCGTCTCATCGTTCTCTGTTCAGTGGAAGATAGAAAACTATCAGGAGTATTATCATGATTTATTGTTATAACATTTATTCTTAGACCTTGTGTAATAACCCTAATGTTGGTTACATATTGGCGTAAGAATAAAGGATTCTTGAGTCGCCAACCAGTGTTCTAGTTTTCGCGTTGGTTAATACAAAGTGTTTCTGAAAGTCTTCGAGGGACAGCGTGAGGTCTAGCGTAGCAAGAGCTGGACACTGACAGTTTATGATGGTGTTTGGATAGTTTCCGTCCGTCTTTCCTGGTGCCTGTCAGTCTTCTTTGGACAAGTATTATCGGGAACTTCCCTGGATTTTCGGTCAAGTTCAATGATGCCTGGGTCAAAGAAGGGATAGAGTGTCTTAGAACCAAGCAGGAAAGTAAGTAATGTTGACTTGTTTGTTACATGTAACGATGTGTTTGATATTAGGCATGATAAGATTGATGTCAATGTTTCGCCGTCTAGGGATAATAGATATTTTAAAATTTCTAAATTTGAGCCTCGATGTTTCTATGGAAACCCAGCTGACTATCCACAGTTTGTAAAGGAGTCTAAAGTCATGTTGAGTGGGTTTGCAATAAATGATGAAGTGAAGTGGATGTATTTGTTGAAGTGTTGCACTGGAGTTGCTTCAAGAGCTATACAGCGCTATAAGTTTATGCCCCCAAATGAAGGATATACTGAGGCCACGAAGATATTACGTCAAAGATTTAGAAGGCCATTTATGATATCCCGTAGCATTGTTGAGACCGTCGAAGGTAATGGGGCACAGTTAAGAGACAACCCCGAGGAGCTCACAGAGTTCTTGGATAATTTAATGGTATACAGAAATACCCTCGTTTATCTTAACAATATGGATGAGTTAAACTCAAGTTCGGTGATTGAGACAGTTGTCAAGAAATTACCGGTCCGTCTGCAAAGGAAGTTCATAAAGGTTAGTTCCTGGCTGGAGGAAGATGGTTTGGAGCCTGGGTTCGATGATGTTATAAGGCTGGTGAAAGACAGAGTCAACCAGGAGACGGGCGAATTCGCCAGCATTTTGCATTCTAAGGTAGAATCTAAGGAACCGGTGAATATAAAGAAAGCATTTGTAGTGAAGGCTCAAGGCGCAACGAGAAAGAATGAGTTTATTGTTTACCATAACGCGCACCAATCGAGTGATTGCAATCGCTTTATTGCTATGTCTCCCGTAGAAAGGTTAAAGATGGCAAAACAGAAGCGGTTGTGTTTCAGTTGTTTAAAGATGGGGCATACAAAGTTGAATTGTAAGGC